ATGAATGAATGAATGAATTCAGTATTCCATAATGCAGTGGCTGAATTAATAAACTATAGCATGGCATAATGTGATGGCTTGATTTATGCAACAAACTAAGGTAATAATTGATGGATTCCCACAGATTACCTCAACCCATTTTTAGGCTAGTCTAAATGTTGAATAAATGCAGCCATTGAGTCTGGCAGACACTGATGAATAAAGAACACGATATGAGCAGTGGAAAATTTAGTTCTTTAGAAGACACACATTGAGCCATGATGTTGAGCTAAGTTGTAGGCAAGATTGTAAATACTTACTGCAGTTTCAGATGAGAGGAGAGAGCAGTGAGTGAGATCAGACACAGGGGTATTTTTACGACAGGAGGTCTCCTGGATGATGAATTCCACAGTTTTGGAAATACCAGCAACCACCTGTAATAAGTAATAAACATTTAGAGTAGGTCACATTCTCTGCAGGAAATGTTCCTCATAATCTTGGGTGCCCTGTCAATCTTCAATAACCTGAAACCTCCAGAGAGTCCCCATAATTCTTAGCGCTAAGAGAACTGGTAGGATGTTGTCAAATATTTTCAAGAAGAGGACATAAATATATTCAGTAATCAAATTGAATGTAACATTGTAGAAAGATCAGAATCAAACCCATGTGGGAAACAGGACGGCCCTGGGAATCCCTCTGGCAGATAAAAATTAAAATCTTCTTCAATTCAGATTTCTACAGACTTTGAGAATCTGTCTCTACACTTTCTTTGGCAATAATGTAGAAATCAACTGCCCTCTTCTGGAATTATTTCTGTTATTATTTTCAATTTCTACATTTTGCATAAACCCTGGTTTTTGCAGCAGTTTCTATACAAATCAAGGATACAGAATAGATCTGAATAGGTCTTCTAGTCCAACCCCCTGCTCAAGCAGGAGATCCTACACCATTTCAGAGAAGTGACTGTCTAGTCTCTGTTTAAAAACCTCCAATGATGAAGCACCCAAAACTTCTGATGGCAAGCTCTTTAATTGTCCACATTGTTAGGAAGTTTCTCCTTAATTCCAGGTTGCTTCTTTCCTTGATTAGTTTTCATTGTTTCTTGTCCCGCCCTCTGGTGCTTTGGAAAACAAGTTGACCACCTCCTCTTTGGGGCAGCCTCTCAAATACTGGAATACTACTATCAAGTTCCCTCCCCCCCAGTCCTTCTTTTCTCTAGACTAGCCATACACAAATCCTGCATATGTTTTCATATATTTTAGTCATATGTTTTAGTCTCAAGGCCTTTAATCATCCTAGTTGCTCCTCTTTGCACTTTTCCCACAGTCTTAACATCTTTTTTGTAATGTGGTGACCAAAACTGGATGCACGTATTCCAGGTGTGGTCTTATTAAGGCTTTATAAAACAATACTAATACTTCATGTGATTTTGATTCTATGCCTCTGTTTATGCAAACAAGGATTGTATTAGCTTTTGGGGCTACTACAGCACACTGCTGGCTCATGTTTAAGCGATCGTCCACTGGGACTCCAAGGTCACTCTCACATTACTGTTTCTGAGCCAGGTTTTTCACTTAATCTGTACTTGGATCTTTGGTTTTTCCTACCTAAGTGTAAAATCTTGCTTTTCTCTACATTAAATTTTATTTTGTTGGGTAAGGCCCATTGTTCAAGTGTGTCAAGATCTTTTTAGATCCTGAGCTTGTCTTCTTGGGTGTTGGCTATTCCTGCCAGCTTAGTGTCATCTGCAGATTTGATAAGTTCCTCTTCTATTCCCTCATCTAAGTCATTTATGAAGATATTGAAGAGTACCAGGCCTAAGAGGGACAGCATTAACTTTCTTGCTTGAAAACACTCCGTCTCAGCTTTACCTGTGAATTTGCTTTGGTGATCTTGACAAGGGCAAAATAATGATAGTGATTATTTTCAGCATTAAATTTGGCCAGGCTCTCTTTTGCTGCTTCCAGAAAACTGTCTTCAGAAGGGTTCCTGCGCACTGGACAGCCAGGGCAAGGAGGAGTAGAAACTTTAAGGGGAAAAAAAAGCATCATTTGAAAAGGTGAGACAAGGTGATTGAATATGAGCTTGTACATTTAAATCGAAAAGCTTCGATCAGCTTGAAAATTAAGCTTCTCTATCAAACCGGTATCTCATCAGGGTCATAGTTGTTTAGCGACCTGACACAACACTCAATAGCAGGGAACCAGTGAAGCCTGTCATTATGAGGGGTACAATTCTGAAAAATATCTATATCTCAGGGTTGGACTGTGGAGTTTTAGGTGCTCCCTCAGCTTGGTGGCTTTGCTTGTAGACGATTCATTACCGAAAACCTCTTCTGCCTCCTTGTACCAACTAGCATCAGACTGGAATCCCCAAATATAAACTCAATTTGGATTTTTTCTTCTTCCATATGTTCGTGCCTGATTCTTGGAGACAGCCTGGATAACTCCATGCAATTTATTTGGGAAGATTTTTCAGAAGCACTTTACTATTGCCTCCTTCCATGGGTTCCTGTCCGAAAATGGAACTAGAACTCATAGTCTCCCAATTTCTAGCCTGATGCCTTATCCACTATATCAAACTGGCTCTTAATCTGGATTACTTTTTCTTTCATGATAGAATCAGATTCTACAACGTAGTAACACCGGATGAATGCATATGCCAAGGCTGAAGTAACTTTGATTCCAAGGGTAGTCAACCTTGGCTCTTTTATGACTCGTGGACTTCAACTCCCAGAATTCCTGAGCCAGCTAAGCTGGCTCAGGAATTCTGGGAATTGAAGTCCACGAGTCATAAAAGAGCCAAGGTTGACTACCCCTGTTATTCCATCATCCATTAATACCTCATGAAGGAGATGCCTCCTTATCCAAAGTTCAAACCACATTTGCAACAACTTCCAGCTCACACAATTCACTCTAACTGCATAGTCAGCCATTTTGGTAAAGCTTGAATCATCCATTAAATGCCTGTCGAGGTTCTCATGTACTGAACTACAAACAAATCAAGTGGGCCGTTTTGGAGAACAGACCGAGGCAGAAACTAGTAACTGTTTTTTAACCTAACTAAGCAACAAGAGTGGCCACAGTGCATCATGAATTGGTTGGAAAGCATCATTTGGGTCTGAGTGGCAGAAAAAAAAAATCTGAATTCCATTTTTAAATTTAATTTAATTAAAAATTTCCTCAGAAATGCAGGCGTAGTTAGTAGAAAATAATACCTTATACTAATAAAAATGCTGACAGAAAAAGAACGGAGAAAAAAGTGTGCGAAAAATGTATACATTTGCAACAAAAATATACGGAAAAGGAAATTGGGCCAAACGACACCTGTGGTTGAGTAATAGAGCAAACCGAAATTACAGATGTAGCCTAAGATACCTGGAAGAACGGAACAAGGCTTTAAAATTTAATTTGGGTGCTTCTGCGTCTACTTTTTAAATCTCTTTGGGGATATCTGTAAAACTGAAATTGCGAGATATATGTGCTTGGATAGACATTTTTGCCAAACCTATATGAAGTAAACATGAAAAATACGTACGAGGGCGTAAAAAGCAGTCGTTTCTGTGCAAGAATGAATCATTTGTTTTCCTATTTAATCTAATTATTATTTCGCAATGGCCAAAGACCTGGAACAAAAGAAAGTAGTGTGTTAGCGCTACCGATTTCTTTTACCAATGATTCCATGACACATAATGAAAAGCTGGATCTTTTCCACACCTTAGACCCAGGTTTACTTTCCTTTCGTAATGCTTTCCACATCTCTACAGCTCCTACATTTCTTCCTGTGATTTTATATAACCCCACTGTCTTTTTTTTTTTTTGCACTGCAGAATGTATTAGGACTAGGACAGTGATGGCGAACCTTTTAGAGACCGAGTGCCCAAACTGCAACCCAAAACCTACTTATGCATCGTTGGGTGCCGGGTGGGCGTGGCCCATTGGCTGGGCGTGGCTGCAGTGGTAACGGCAGACTGGATGGGACTAAAAAGTTCAATCAATCAATTCCAACTTTGCGAGATCTTTTTTTCCCCGCGAGAAGTTGAAATTGAACCTTTTTTTTTTTTTGCATACGGTGGCGGAGGCCTAAAGTGAAAAGGTTTTATAAAACCCAGCTGAAAGCCTAGGACTGGGGCAACAGTGCACGTGCCCACAGAGAGGGCTCTGAGTGCCACCTCTGGCACCCGTGCCATAGGTTCGCCACCACTGGACTAGGAAGTGCTCATTTGTGCAGCAAACACGATCGATCCAGGAGATGTGATCTCAGTTCTACCCGCTTTAAACCAAACTTAAAAGGCCAAAGGCCAAAAGTATCCTCTGGGAAAATTAGTATACTTACGGGAGGAGTCAGAGAGATGGAAAAGTGTCAGGCCAAGAAGAATGCTCACGAGTCCTGAAATTAAGACCCTGAAGGTGATGTGAATGTTTTGTTTGATAAAGGACTGGAGGGGAGGGGGGCAAAGATTCATTTGGTACCCAAAAGGGGGATATTTAGAGGAAGGCCAAGAACTGTTTCCTCTCTTTCAATGGTGCAGACATGGAAGAACCAGTTTAAGTCGCAGGAGTGGGATTCGGATTGAATATTAGGAAACTCTTCTCAAGCGTAAGAGCTGCGGGACAGCGGGAATGTTTTGCCAAGAGAAATAATGAGCAATCTCTGTCCCTAAATACATTTGCCAGATGACCCAAGAGCCCTCTGTCAGGAAGGCTTTCTCTTGAGTTCCTCCACTAAGTGGGGGTTTGACCCGTTCATCTCCCTCCCTTCCAATGCTATGATTCATGTGTACAATGCCACTGAGTGGACATGGCACCACAGTGCAGGGATTTATTTTGAACACAGAGATGCCAAGAAACCAATGGCTACGTGGGAGAAGTTGGGAAGGCTGTTCTGAAGAAAAAAGTTTGCTACCACATGGCAAGTGGGTTGAGTGACACCCTCAGCCTCCTTTGAAAACCAATTCAAAACCCAGATTTGACTTCTTTCTAAACCCCATCGGTAGTTCTTTAAATAAGCAGATCGATTACTTACTGTCTCATGTGGACGTCTAAAGTTGCACTCTTTCCACGATTTCCTGCTCCGGACATGGCAATCGGTTTCTAGCACATCCAAAACGAGGTTATAAACAGACTCATCATTCTGTTATGGAGAAAGGCAAACTCTTAAAAAGGCAAGACACGGTGTCAATCAATTGGGAGCACATTGGATGAAAATAAATTAACCTTCAAATCAACATTCAGAAAAAGACAGGAGATCATCTGATTTTCACTTGATATCAAGGAATCAACTGCACTCTCAGATAAATCCAGCAGCTTCCTTGAATGGGGCAAGGATGTCCAATTAATTTTAATTAATTATTAAATATATATGCTGCCTGTCTCGCTTTTGAAGTAATGCAAGCACAGTTGTGATGGTCTTGTGATGCATGACTGATAGCTTTTTTCCCCACCCGCTTAAACAATATTGTGCACATGCCAAAAAGGTTTGCAGTTCTGGTGGGATACTGCAGTGCTGTACCTTAGTCTCCGATGAAGTGGGAAGAGAACCTGTAGACCACTAGATAAATCTCTCAGTATTTTAATGTTGTAATGGATCACTGTATCTTCAATGCATCTGTGGAAACTGGTTACTTGGGAGAGCATAGGACAGGCTGGTCCTTAATCACTTTCCATTTTTTCCTCCCTTGTTTAATTTTTCTTCCCTGTATTTGGAACAGCAATCAGCTGCTTCTTTGAGAAACTTAAATAACATAAACCCTGTTCTTTTGAGAGTTGGGCACAAAAGTCTGTAGCATATTGGAACTTTGTATGCCCAGATGTCTAGAGGGAATCTGTGTCTACAAAATCACGGTTTACTCCAGATGATTTGTTACATGAGGCAAAACATTTATTTTAATCCTAGCAAGGGTGAATATCTATTATCATGAAACCTGATCCCAAATGATTAACTTAGAATGTCTTAGACAGATATTATCCTGGTGGCAAATATCTGTAGCTCAGGTGTAGGATGAGGGTGGAGATTCATTCTCCGAGCTTGTGGGTTGGTTTCTGAACGTTTCATTAACAGGCTGGGTAAGATCTTCAGCAGAAATTAGGGGATGTCAGTATTAATGTTCTTCTGCTTATAAGGGCTTCGTGTGGTCAGTAGATCTTGTGATGGGGGTTCACATCAGGTGTAGGTCACATCAGGTGGGGGTCTTGTGATTCTTGTGATGGGGAGATCACGTGAAGTGAGGGTCATTGGGAGGTGAAGTGCTGGTTGGGGAGGGTTGCATAGGTTGGTTGACGGTTGTTGCTTTCTCTGGTTGGCTATGTGGTTGCTTTGAATTATCAGAGGTTCATAGGCTGGTTGTAGGTCAATTTGTCTGTTGATGGAATTGCTTGTGGCACTCCACAATTGCCTGGCACTCCACAAGCAATTCCATCAACAAACACATCGAACAGCCTATGAACCCCTGAAAATTCAAATCAACTGCACAGCCAACCAGTGATAGCACTAACACTCAACCAACCCATGCAAACCCTCCCCAGCCGGCACTTCGCCTCCCAATGATCCTCACGTGTAATGACCTCCCCATCATAAGACCCATCACAAGACCCTCACCTGATGTGAGAAGAGGGCATCAAACTATTCTACAAAGCACCAGAGGGCAGGACAAGAAACAATGGTTGGAAACTGACCAGAGAGAGAAGCAACCTGGAATTAAGGGGAAGCTTCCTGACAGTGAGGACAATTAACCAGTGGAATAGCTTACCCCCAGAAATTGTGGGTGCTCCATCACTGGAGGTTTTTAAGAAGAAACCATTAGACAGTCACTTGTCTGAGATGATATATGTTCTCCTGGACTAGAGAAGACCTCTAAGGTCACTTCCAGTTCTATTCTATTCTATTCTATTCTATTCTATTCTATTCTATTCTATTCTATTCTATTCTTATTCCATTCTTATTCCATTCCATATTCTATTCTGTTCTGATGTGACCCTTCCATCACAAGACCTACTGACTCCATGAAGCCTTTATTAGCAGAAGAACTCCGACACGGACATCCCCTTAATTCCACTGAAGATGTTACCTAGCCTGGTAACGAAAGTTCAGAAACCAACCCACAAGCTCAGAGAACAAATCTCTACCCTCAAATATTACCCTGTCTTTTATATTAGTGGCTTGACTTTGTCTAATCAGAAAGTTGGCCCTACTTTGAGTATGTCTTTTTATTAGGGCTACCAAATCTAGGCTATATTTCTTGGGTGCCATCAAGTGATTTTATAGGTTTTTTTCCTGCTCAAATACATTAGTGCTACCATGATTGGACACCAGAATGCTGGTGCTGAGTGGTAAGAAAGAAAAAAAAATCAATAGAAGGAGGAGATCTTACCTCGGATACTTCTTGGGCGTCAAAAATGCGCTGGAGGCCAAGAACGTAGCCTTCTGTCCGATATTTGTTGTGTTTGTTAAGGGCCTCTTCTGCAGCAATGTTTACCCCCACAGAATTGCACGATGGGGAAAGAAAGTGAGGAAGTGGGACGGAAGCCACTGCATGAAACAGCTGGATCCCAATTAAGAATGAAGTTAAAAGGGCCATTTTGGAAATGTTTGCAGAATCAGAGAAGACAGCAAATGGAGCTATGCAGAGAGAGCAAGGTTCTGACAGAGCTTTGTCTTTCTTTATATATACACTTTGAAATCAGTAGCTAATATTTGCTCTTCTGTTGCACCTTTAAATTTCAACCTGTGAAGCAATGATTAGAAATGTATAACTTGGAAGGGGAATTCTTACTATAGTCATGCCCTTGAATTTAAACAACTTTTGCTATGCCTTCCTTCATCCCTCCTCCCCCACTCCCCTCCTATTTAATTTTGATAGACATAGGGCCCAGTACAATTGACTATCACTAAAATGTATCTTAGTTTTTTCAATTCCCATGTGTGACCTAGTTGTAATCATTAATGTGATGTGACCTAGTTGTAATCATTAATAGGGCCAACATGGGCATAGATAGAGGATCAAATAAAATGGGTTTTGCTGAAGAATAAAGTGGTAAAGAACCAGTTTTGCTCAAATTCTATTCAATCTGTATCCTATTTTCACTTTTTTTCAGTTCTAATTCCCTTCTAGTAATAAACATTATTCCACACTAAGCAAATACAATCCTTATTATTGTAAGTAAATAAAGAATTTCCAATCGATATTTGTTATATTTTTCTAAAAATGTCAATAATATCATTTTAAAATATCTTTTCTAACCAAAACATATCTTACTTGCATTTGCATTCAATATCCATTTATTCAGTCTAGATCCTATTTTTGCTTTTTACAATTTTAATTCCCCATCCATGTTCAAAATATCCCAATTATTTATAATTTCAAAACAAGTTATCTTTGGGTAACCAAACGTTTCCCCCTATTCAAAATTCTTAACATATTCTTCTTTCCATTTTTATACCAAGATATGATATTCTGATTACAAATCCTATCTATCTAATTATAATAATACTTCTATTTCTAACAATCTATTCTTAACCATATTCAAATCTCTAATTGATAATGTAACATTCCCTCTAACAGGTCAAAACTTTCAGTCTTACTCTTGCTTTCTTCCTTTGCCAACTAACTTTCCAAGTCAATACATTGGATCATCAAATAATTCTTCCTCTATTTTTATATATATTATATGAGTCAAGAGAATCAATTCAGTTAAGATATTTTTGAAAGAACCGGCCCATTGATATTCATTAAACAGCTTCCCTCCTTCTCCAATACCCCACAGTTCTATTGATAGCTTTCTCTTCCATTCCATCAGATTTCCTTCCTTGTCCTCCAGTAAATTCTGAGACTTTGATTTGTAGAATGTCTACTCCATTTCCAATATTCTCATTGTGTCTTCTAAGACTTCATTTATCTGAGTCTGGTCACAATTTTCTTCCTTCAGATCCTCAATATTTGTGTCAGCATTTTCTATTTTTCCTTCTGTTTTCTGAGTTGCTAGTTCCTTCTCTGTATTTATTTTCTGGGTTTGTAGATTAAAATTTTAAAAAATGTTCTTTTATCTCCTTTGTATTTCTTTTAAACTCATCACAAGCTAAAGCGATTGTTTCTTGTATTGATTTCAACATGGAGAAAATTTCTTTCTGTGATTCATCAGTATTTTCTTGATAATATGGCAAACTGAGGCTTCTGGAGACCTGTGTTAAAGATGGTTTTTCACCATTTAAAGTTAAGTAGGAAACATCCATTTTATTTTTTGTAAGTAGTCTTTATGAGTTTATCCAACCAACTAACTGTTCTTAAACCTCCCCTAAGCAGATATAAATAAAGTTCAAATTTTTCTGTCCAATGAGGAAGATATCCTTTCTGTCCAGGAAGAAAAAAAGAACCATTACAAGTTGTTTAATAATCAAGATTTATAGTCCAAAGTGTTCCAAAGTGTTCCATCATATCCGGCAATAGTATATATGTCTTCTTCAGGAAGATAGATCCACAATACAGTTTTAAAAGTCAGTATTTTTGTTCATAGTTCAGACAGGCCAATTTTAAAATGATATTATTGTTTCTGTCACACAGATAAGCAGTTCCAAGCCTGTTCCATTTTCTCAGCTGCAAATCTCAAAAATCAGAGCTTCAAGGCCAGCCAAAGTCTTATCTCACTCTGGGCTTCAAGCCAAGTTGCTTTTCGGCAAAAATAAATTGTAGTGCCATACATTCACCACTAGATGTCATCAATGCCATTTTTCAGTTCTTAAAACCAAAACTTATAAGCTTTTCCAGCCTTTTTTTTAAAGTCTTAAAAATCACTTTTAGTCTCCAAATTTCCAAGTCATATATATGTATTGGTTCCAAGTTAGTCTTATAGGTTTCTCCTTTTCCTCAGGTAATTGATTTGCCGCTTTCCTGAGGGAATGGGGTGGAATTTCCCTTTTCCTTGTCTTCGGGGGGGAGTGCTTTAGGCAGATATTCAGGAAAAGGTTTTAAATTCATAAAGAGAGGCTTAGATATCACCCGGTTTCATCCACGTTGCTATAAACTTGCTTGGTAGTGCTTGGTGTCTTCCAAATGTAGCCAGTCTTTCCCCTGCTGGTTTGGAGGGCTTCCTCGGATCAAATGGGGGGGCTGCCACCCCCCCATGATCAAACAATCATGCCACCTCTACGGGGTGGCTTTTGACCTTTTTCAGGGTCCCACAGCGGGACGAAATCAAACGCGGAAGACAGAGCTCGTCTTCCAGCATCTGCCTCGCTGTGACGCCACAACTGGAAGCCTGAAAATATTTTATTTCTAAATGACCTTTCATTTCAGAGTGGTTTATGAGGAAAAAACAACACCCCTCTTAGGAACTGTATAATATCCTGAAAGGCTGCAGTAAGAGGAAGAGATTCTGAGGAAAAGGCATACTTTTTTTTTGAAGAGACCTGGGACTTCAAAATTTGGAATGAATCTCACATGCCATTGTGAGAATAAAGGGAAGCATGGACCACAGCAGAACGCAGAAGAAATCCTTGTGCAGTAGAGTCCAGGATTGCAAGCAGCAAGAATAGAGAGACTGAAATCTGGGAGGTTATGTAAAGGAGACTGGCCAAGACGAGTTTGTTTCAAGAGAAAATAATTTATGTATCTCAGTGTTGAACAGTGGAGTCCTTGGTGCTCCCAGATCTTGCAGATGTTTCATAAACCAACTACGTAACATCCTTTGTGCATAGCACTGAAGTTACCTACTTGGGTAGGGAAATGTCTGCAAGAAAACAACCATGCTCACAGAGCATCAAGGATTCCCAGTAATCTCACATGCTAAAATTATTACTGTTCAGTCTGAATAGTTCAGCAATAAAAGAGAATGAAGATATCCTGGATGACCAAGATACGGGATAGTTTTTGGTTATCTTACTTCTGTTTCGCGTGTTTCTGTTTCCAGATTATCAACTTTATTTTATGTTTCTCACAAATTGGTGGAAAAGGAGAGATTCTAGGTTTCTCAGTGTTCAGAGTGGTGTATGTTTTTTTGCACTTTAAAATTAAGCATATTTCAAAATAAATTATTTATTTATTACTAGCTGTACCCAGCCACGCGTTGCTGTGGCTCAGTCTGGTAAAAGCGTGTGTTGCTTTTATGTCCAACAGATGGCACTGTTTTTTTTAAAAAAGCATGTTTTTACCTGTCACAGGTGTGACATCTATATAATATAGGTATATAAAAACACGCACGTATTCGAATGCAACATTGTGTCAAAATTTCAAAGCAATCGGTGAAGAACTTTCGGAGATTTAAGATTTTGAACAAACGAACATTTACATTTTTATTTATATAGATTTCAGGTATGTTCCTGAGCTCACCAAATTAATTAATAATGTTTTGAAAATGATTTTTACCTTAAAAGTTACATTTAAAAAAAAACCCAAAAACAAACAGCTCCCATATGATGCAAACACGAACTTCCAAAGTGATCACATAATATAGTCAAATAACTACCTGGGGATTGCATTAAATCAGCGTAGTGTGGAACCAGCTGTTGCACATGAGAATCAGCAACATGAAACACGGTAAAACATAGCCTTCCCTACAATGTTTATTGATTAGATTGAGGACCACCGCCACATCTGTCTCTATTTTTGCTCTGTTGCAATCTTCAGGGAATATCATGCCTTGGCATGGTGCATGTCAGAATAAACAGAGTGCTGACTGGCAATTTCATGGGCTGTGCAATGGGCATTATCCTCTGATATTAAAAAGTAAATTCCAAAAGTTCAAAGGACTATTTAAATGTTTTTGTAGGTCTGCCTTCTAGGTTCTTGAACCAGTTGTTTGATCCCTGGTTAAGAAAAATAAACAGAAAATTTAATGGAGTCAATAGGAGGGAAAGAGGATCCAAAATGAAGGGCTCATGTCCGAATCAAGGGGTAAAATAAGGTGAAATTCCAGCATCGCAAAGGGTAACGATATTGGGGTACAGGAAGAAAGGGATACATACATTGCATAAATTTAAGGAGTGGATCTCAGTACACTGAATTCTGACATTTTAAAAAGAAATGAAGGGTTCTCATCTCTGCTGCAAATGGGCAGAGACCAGACTAAATTCCTTTCAGTTGCAAAGGAGTGGCCCAGGAGACCTGCACATAAGTGAATTCACACATGAAACCACCAAAGGAACGACTGAGTTCACATACTGATCTTGTGACTTGCTTCTCTCTGGCTCAATGCATTTAATTTTGAGAACATACTTCATGTTTTAGTGTGCCGATTGAGCCCACTTACATGTGGGTTACTGCCATTAGGATTTCTGGGGAAGGTCAAAGTCTGCAGGATGGTAGGCTTTGACTGGCACCTGGCACCTGCTGTCCTGTAGATGTTGACTTTTCCCCCAGATGTTGCTGGTTTATTTAGCACGTGATGGTTGAACAAACCATGGGATAGTCCAAAGTAAGAAAAGGTTTCCATATCTCTTTTTCCATGGTAAAATTTAGATCATCTTGCTGACCTAAAGCTCCTCTTTTAAGCTTCATGGTGGGACATCAGAGGTAGGGTCTATATAACAGATTCAGCCATAATGATATCT